ACTGTCACATTCACCCACTTAATTGTAAGAGCCAGTTTCAGTAAAATGCTATTAATCCATGAAAGATGCATTATACATGTTTATGTATGTGAGCTCGATCTGTCGCTTTGTATTCCTGTTTTTATCCATATATGCCTAGCCTAGGCTACACAAAACGAAATCTTTTTTCTATTTCTAGTCTGTTGCCTTTTCTCACCATTGCCTATAGGCATATAGATCTAATATGCTATTGCATGCTCTCTTTCTTTCCTCTCCAACTCTTCTCTACCCACAGACCCCATGCAGGGCTATGTAACTAACTAGTAAAATAAGTAAAAATGTATTAACCTTTAATAGGCTATCTTAAATTAAACTGCTTATGTTGTAAGCTAGATATTATCTAGATCAACGCGTGTATTTAGGCTAAGGCAGGCATATTTTTATTACGCTGGAAACCTATAGATGTAGAATCTAGATCTAAAGTCTAGATGACTTTTTTTCTTATGTAACTACTGACACTGTCGACTAGATAATTAGATCTCTAGAATCTAGATGTAGATTCTAGATCTAGATTTCGGTCTACATTATCAAGACATGTTTTGGTTTTATGCTAGATCGACATTATTTTATAACTTGGCCTAGATCTAGAATTCAATTTTAAAATCTGTTGTCCTGTTTTCATCAACATGTGTAACCTTTTCTGTAGACCAGAAGAGTATAGAATTGTAGAGGCAGTATTTACAAATATGCAACCTTGGCCAGTTCTCTCATTGCGCTAGGCCTAAGCCGCAGAAAGCTATGCCTAGGCTAGGCTAGACGCGACGCGCTTCGCTGTCGATACCGCGCCTGGTTATTTTTAGCTCGCGTCTCAGTGGTCACGTTCGCAAATGCACTGTTGTCACGGACCGCGAGGCCTCGTTTCCTGTCTCTATATTTTAGTGTCTCTGTTCTACACTTATATAAGTGTAGAATTCTGTGGGCTGCACAAGGAGATTAAAAGTAATGGAGGATGCCCTGTGGGCGGCACCGCACGCCTGATAGGAGCCCTCTCTCGCGGCGGAACTGTGGTCTACCTGCGCTGAGCGAATGCCCGACTTACGCACTGAAATCTAGATAAGAAAGAAGGTTTTATTCCGAGGCCCTTGAGATTAGGCAAGTCAATTAGTCAGAATGCCTTGCATATGTGTTGTATTTAAGTGTAAGAACCGATATGATGCTGCAGTGGACCGAAGTTTTCACAGTTAAGTTGTTTTCCTTTTAAAAAATTTGAATGAAAGTGTTTTTATGCCCCCAGCAACACAATTTAGATCATTAACATTCATAAGAGGATGGCTCCGGCGCTACCTGCCAAGGCCAACCCAGGCTGAAAGGGATACAACACCCCAGCAGAAAGACCGAAATACTAAATTTTGTAAAAGTATTCTTATTCTTTTATATATATATATATATATATATATATATATATATATATATATATATATATATATATATATATATATATATATATATATATATATATATATATATATATATGTGTATATATATAATTATTATGTGTGTGTATGTATATACATATTATACATTTATATTGTTTTCCATTGTGTGTGCAAATTAGATGCTACTGTTGTCTAAATGTAGATATCTGGAGGCTCCATTAGAATATGAAATCAATACTCAACAACAATAATGATGAATATTTTCTATGTTAAAGAAAATTCAAACCATATCAGATGAGGGGAGAGGGTAGGGTGGGGTGGATAAGAGTTTGAGTCTTGTTAGATAGAACTATACTCGGTTTAATTCTATTGTTGTAGTCTTCACCTAAGATCCCACAATCAATAATTCCGGTTCACTTAAGATTCTGCTGTTAAAAAATAAACCAAACAAAGCAACAACAAATTTTAATACACAAGAGTCATCACTGAGATAAATTACCCCGCCCCCCCCTGGAGTGTAATAAGGGACTAAAAACGCTGCTCTCCATGTCATACTTTACTGAACAAAAACAAAAAAGAAAACCTTCAAAGGTCATCCACGCTCATGCATGCAATCACGCCTCCAAAGGTGCTGTTATCTCTTTTTTTAAATATTTGAAATCATTGTGCGCTCTACTTTGTGAAAACCAGGAAACAAAATGATTGTAATCAATAATATTATTATTTATAGACCAAGACTTACTGTTAGCAATCAGATAAAGCTGGCATCGACCCTCTGTTGTGTTCGCTATTCCTTACACATAAAGTTAGTTATGGCACACGCCTAGAATCATGCAATCATAATATCTTAAATTCAGTTTTAAAGTATATTTTTTTTATCCATTTCTAATATTAAATAATTAAATATTTTGGCATCTTGAAAGATTTTCTTTATAATTTGGTATGTTTGATAATTTTATGTTACTTGGACAAGTTTTTTCTTATTTTACACATCTTTTTGATTTTTAAACTAGATTATAACATAAAACTCGTAAAGATTTGAATAGTCCGTATCACACACAGAATTTATTATTTTTTTTCTCCCTGTCATTATCCGTCAGCCCGTCAGTTGATCACAATCTCTCTCTCTCTCTCTCTCTCTCTCTCTCTCTCTCTCTCTCTCTCTCTCTCTCTCTCTCTCTCTCTCTCTCTCTCTCTCTCTCTCTCTCTCTCTCTCTCTCCTCTCTTCTCTGTCTGTCTGTCTGTCTGTCTGTCTGTCTGTCTCTCTCTCACTCTATCTTTCTCTCTCTCTCTCTCTCTCTCTCTCTCTCTCTCTCTCTCTTTATTAAAAATTTTCGTTCTCATTCGTCCCTCTACGACGCGCACGCCCCTCTGTCACACAAGGGACTCTCTCTTTTTTGGGAGATTTCTATATCACGGACAGCTTATACGTGTGCCTGCGCCCTTATGTTTTTATTATACAAA